CACTTCGGTCACCTTGCCGCCCCTGCCTCCTCGCGCGGAACGGATGTCGTACTTGACCTCTGGATCCGGGGGCTGTGCCGGGAATCGGGGTAGACGTGGGGAGAGGCCGCGGTGGTGAGAGGGTGAGAGGAAGGCGTTGGCGTTGGCGGGCTGTTTCGTCGGGACGGGTCGTTTGTCTGCTGCGGGTGGAGGGTCGGGCGACTTGTTGGATTTGGGGGGTGCGAAGGGGAGGGTGGGTGACGGTTTCTTGGTGTGGGTGTGATGGGAAGCTGGCGGGCCCATTTTGGCCATGGCCTCGACTGGAGAGCGCGTCGATGACTTGTCCGCTGACGTGGGCGTCGCGGTCATCTTCAATGTCGCGATAGGCACGAACCCAGACGAACGAGGATTCGGAGAGGCGGATACATCTTCCTTCTGAACGCCGCCCTGATCGGCACCGACAGGCTTCTCCACTGCAGTCACGGGGGTGAGGGGAGGTGGGGGGAAAGATTCCTTGGCGACGATAGGAACGAAATGGGATACTGATGGCGATGGCATCGGGGACGAGTCGTCCACAGCTGGTGGAGGAACGGCAGGGTCGATCTGTCCCAGCCATGCGGCGATCCGGCCTTTTGCCTCTTTGCGCAACTTGTGCACTTCCTCGCCCTTGGGACCTTTCTCCAGCTCCCGGAACTTCCGTCTGCCTGTGCGCTTTTGTATATCTGTATCGCCACTGCTATCCCTGTCTTTATCCTTGTCTTTGTCCTTGTTCCCGCTCCTGTCCTGAAACTTATCTGCCGCCCTGTCAAAGTACTCGTGTGACTTCCTCCGTCTCCCTTGTACATCCTTTCCATCCTCGCTGAACCTTCCACCAGGCTGCTGTGTCCGCTCATCCGAATCCCGATCCTGCTCGTTCTCGTTCTCGTACTCATGTTCATGCTCCAGCTCACTTTCCCACCCTCTTCTATCCCCCAATCCGAAACCCATCCCTCCCTTCTCCTCACTACTCTTCCCACCTGCGAGTGTCAGACTCGATATTGCGCTATCGTTGACACCCTCCACTAATACCCCGTTTGTCGAGGGTGGTATCGTGATGGGCATGACGGCGGCCCTTGCTGTAGGGTGTACGACGGCTCTCGCGTCAGGTCGCATAGTATCCCTTTCGAGCTTCCGTGTTCCAACCTCGGCGAGTAACCGTCGTTCCAGGGCGTCAAGACCGCTTTCTTCCGGCACTGTCAGAGCGGTGGCCTTTTGCTTACCCGCCCCAGCACCCAAACCTGAGGTCATTTCGGTCATTGTCATGGTTGGGGCGAGTCGAGTGAATTTGACGGGTGTGATGGCAGCGAGAGGCGGCGTGGGTGGGGTGGTACTGGCGTCGGCGTCGGCTTCAGGTGCAGAGAAGATATCATCTACGCGTGGACGTCGACCTGAAAGAGCCAGTAATCGATCTTTCGTAGAGGGGACAGGAGGAGACGGGAGGGTTTTTTCTTTGCCCTCCTTCTCTTCCTCTTTCCCGCTCAAAGCATCCACTCCCGTATTATCCCCACCGTTGACCTGCGCCTTGGGCAGATCGCCGCTCAAGTCTTGACTTTTCCTCGCTACGTCGTCCGCCATCTTCTCGAGTGCGCGTACACGGGATGATTTAGTAGCTTCAGTGGTGTACGCATATGCATAAGCATGAGAATGGGGGGAAGTGGATACATTAGTGTTGGACGTGTGGGAGTCGGCATTCGCAATGGAGGTCGAAGTATCGACAGCTGGAAGGGCTACAGGGATAGATACAGTATGAGTGGAGTGCTTTGGAGAGGGCGCTGGACGCGGAGAGTGGATGACTCCCTGGGTATCATGTGGATTCGGCAGAGGAGGGATGGTGATTGAGAGACTTGCGGAGATGGGAGATTGGTATGGTTGCGCGGACTGAGGGAGAGGTCCAGGAAGAGGCTCAGAAAACGGAATATCATGGTCAGAGATAGCTTGATTCGAATTGGCGGCGGGTGATGCGCCGCCGCTCAAGGAATCAATAGGGGAGAGACCGGGAGATAGGTAAGGCTGCCCTGGCGGAGAAAGCTGACCATGCGCATAATGAGGAGAAAGGGGAACAGGATAGGGCGGGAAAGCCTGATGATGTTGGTACTGCACGGAGGGATCTACCGTTGGATTCGGATAAGGGTGATAGTTATAGTCCGCGTGCTGAGGGGAAGTCCAGCCTGGCGTTGGATTCGCATACATCTGGTGAGTGTGTGGAGGATAAGGAACTGGGGAAAGGCTGGAAATTGGAGGTGGGGAAAGGGCATGAGCATATGCGCGTTCTCCGAGGTAGTTGCTCTCCATGATGGGATAACCAGTTTCTGAAATAGGATAAGGGAGTCCTGGTGGGTAGTAGGCCTGCTCCGGGGGAGGGGAGGTGAATTGAGGGGGTGAAAGCGGTAACGGTGCTATCGGGGCTGCCAAAGGATGAAATATAGTGACGGGGAGATCCAGGATAATGGGTTGTCTGGAAATATAAATGAATCATAGATGAGCAAGCTTTATAACAGGTATGGAAAAATGTAAGGCAGTTGATACAACTGCCAGAACAGGATTACATGAGAAAATGAAAAAAGTCCGGCGTAGGAGACATAACAACTTTCAATAGCATGAGGAATGAAAGTTAGTTAAGAAAATTGTGCAGACAACTAACGCTACTGCAGATGTATCTTATACGGATACGGAAATGAAAAAGGAATCAGAACACTCACGTGCCAAGGGGCATCTCAACTTTTACGCTGAGAACACAACGAACTTCGAAAAGGGCATCCGTTAAACTCACTCCTTTTCCCTCTACCCTTCTCCCAGTCCCGTCCTCGCTATCTCCACCCACCCGCACTCCACCTCTCGCACCACGAGCTGTGCGAGGAACGTCGACGACGAGATGCGCGACACCCTCAGAACCTGGTGGGACGATATAGTCGGAAGTAATGAATGCAACACTTGTGAGCGTTTCAGATGTGCCCAGGTGGGGTTTATCGGGTGGGGGATGTGATAGGTGGAGGGTGCGTGTGAGAGTAAGGGTAACCCCTGTCGTCTGCATTCCACGGTCAACATATCAACTTGGATGAAAGAAAGTCATACATACTGTTTTCTGAGAGTGGTTTTTCAGTTGAAGTTCAACGCAGACGCTTTCGCCTGCAACGACGATGCCGCCAACGACTCTCGCTTGTACCCACATTCTTCCACCATCCGCGAGGACTACACCTTCAGGATGCACTGCCCTTGTTAGAGAGGCCTCCCATCCCTCCACAATGCTGACATCCTTTTTGTCTGTGACAACTCTTTTCTCACCTCTCCACGCAACGCCGACGCTTGCGCGGACTTCGTATCTAATGCTTGCATCTCCAAAGGCAATGGAAGACGGGGAGGTAGGGGGTATGGGAAAGCGAAAAAAGAAAGTGGTGAGCCCACGCCGTGCAGGGTAATGGTGTGTTGGCAGAGGTGGATCGGATGGGTCTAGCTGGACTTCGTGTTCCGTGAGAACGGCATTGGATGGGGGAAGATTTGGGCCCTGGAAAAGGCGACGAGTGTGAATAAAAGTAGACGTTGCTGAATGGTCGCGGGCCGTTATTTCTACATGATAAAGCGTTCAATATACTCGTCATGAACCTTTGACGTGATAACGTACCTTGGATAGCAAATAATTCAACCATTATAACGCCAATACCTAGACCTGAGTCCATGTCTGCACGGCATTCTAGTTCCATTTTACCAGATACATTGCTGCCTGCTACGAAGGTGGGGTCGGACAATATGAGTGAGACTTTGACTTTAGAATGATATGGCGATGCATTCATCGGTTCTGGCCTAGTCTGGAGGGCCATTGGAAGGCAAATAGATGTAGGAATATATCAAATTCGGATATTGCAACGAAAGCAAAATAATGATAATGATTTGAGCAGTGGTTTGAGTTAGAGAAGATGTGCTGCCTTGAGTATTGGCTGGTGTCTTGAAACAGATTGAAGCAAACGTTCAAGATAGATGTTTCATGCCTTGCAAAAGATAGTCCGGTGTGTGTCGATACAGAATACAAGAGGGAATATAGGACTGGAGATAATGCTGAGCTCGTCAACGGTGCATAGCGCTCAGAAGAAATTGAAACATCAGATGGCAGTACCTTTATTTGTTCGTGTTAGAACCCAAGGCCGTCGCCTTCAGCACCAAACAGTCACCAAACATTGAAGGTGCTTCCCCAATAACCTCTCCGCACACTAACCACGGCTCTAAATTGACGTTACCTGGCTATGCTGCTATGATAATTTCCCAAAAGGTGTATACTTGAATGCGCAGCTATGAATCTACATTTATTGTGGATCTTAGGACACTATTGCTCGGGTTGTATGGCAATGTGGACGTCTTACTCAGGCTATGATGTTATTTGACCATGACTACAAATTAGTCAAGCTCCTGGTACGCTTTGATATCCGATAATACTCAATTTAGAGGAACAATTCTCGAGCTTGACCACCGACACCAGCTTCGGAGAATGACCATTCCCATCTGTTACTTATCTCCATGGTCGATTTTTGTATTTTCCATCGGGCACTTACCTGTCCAACGCGCAATCGAAGATTCTACTTCCGCCTTTATAATTTTGGTTTTCATGCCAGTCTGCTAGTCAAGGTTTGCGCATTATGGTTTACCTGATACGTTGCTTGAACACTATCTTACACGATATAGCGAACACGGACCACGAGATGTCTTTACACATTACATGGAATGGCGACCTTATACCATCTCCACACGATTCTTGAAATTATCCATCGCGACACGAATTGCCTCGTTCTTCTTCTTCTCACAAATCTCTCTGTACTCTGACGATGTCTTCCAGCCATGCCATGCAGTTCTCTCCAGCACAGTCCACCAATCGTTTCTGAATGGGTGGCCTGGTGCACCAGCATAGCCCCATGGCTTAGACGTGAACGGCTGGACCCACGGATTGAGTACCGCTGCTAGCTCGGGATGAAGGGGTCCAGAAAAATGGACAATATTAGGCTGCTTCATCTCCTCAAGCCTCAACCTTGTTCTCTCGGCAGATGGGGAATCAGCATAAGTTCCCAGTCCCTGCGCATTCCAATTCAACCCAAGCTCTGTCCAATCTCCTGTCAAATGCACATTCAACGCATCCTGATCGAGGAATCGTGCATTCTTCATTTGCCTCCCTGTCGTTTCGAGTTCGGCAAGACGCATCCTCACTTTGGCGAGGTCGATCAGTAAGATGCCAGCGTTGAAGTAAGGGCCTCTGGTGATTTCGTCATGTCCCAAAGGGAACCCAACATCTGGTGCTGCTGCCAATGATTTATTTTCCAAGTCTACGTTCCACAGTTCATGCAAGTCGCTTCGAATCAGCGTATCGGAATCGAGGTACAGGACACGTTCGACTGGCAGGATCTTGAGCATGTCTATCTTGGCCCAGACTACGCCTAAGTCCGCCGTCAAACTGTTGTCGTGCAACTGAAGAAAAAGGATAGTGACATCTGTTCTGGTAGGAACCGATGCTGTAATTTTATCCTTATCTTCGTTGGAGAGTCCGCAATCAATAACATAGATGGTAATCCGACCTTGGGTCCTCTCGACAGCGCTGCGGATGGTGACTGCTGCAGGCATTGCATAAGATGACTCTACCGTTAGGGCTATGTTGATTCCATAACCAAAAGCTTCTGTAAGTCCCAGTTTCGCCTTTTCCTTGACAAGAAAGCCGATGCGCATGTCAGATGTCTTCTTCAGGATCATCTGGTATTGCTCAGGATTTGTTGAGATGCGTTCGTATTCCCCATCATGGAGAGTCAAGAAAGCATCAATTCCGCGCCTGGGATGATGAATACTACTTTTGGGTTCTCGATCCCAATTGTAGTCATCAAATATGAAGATACAACCCTTTCTCGCCAACCTCCACGCAAGCTCTCCGTCCAGGAAAGTATCATCAGCTTCGTGCGAGCCATCGACATAAATCCAATCAAAGCCAGGATTCGAAGACGTCATCTCTTCCTCCAAAATAGTCATAAGAGCTGGGAAACTGAATTCGTCAAAAACACGATTTGGTTTGCCAGAGAGTGAGAGATTATGTGTGATCTTGCGGTATCTTTCTTTTCCCGCCTCAGTGCCCATCAAGTCGAAATGGTCGATGCAGACGATCTCTCCTCCATTGACGCATAGATCGCTAAGAAGGAAGACGGCCGAACGGCCCTCCCAGGAGCCTATTTCAAGAACTCGTGGTTTGGGAGAGTCGACGAGGGTAAAGAGGCTTTTCCAAGTATCAATATTGAACGAAAACCAGTCTTGGGTTGGGGTGAACTGGTATTTATCCGGGCTGGACTCTTCGTTGGAGGAAGACATAGTTGATACTTTGTTGCTGTCAGCACCTAAAGAATCATAACCAAAGTTGACTCACATGTTCACAGGTCAAACAACAGACGGGAAGAAAACTGTGAATTGTGATGCAGACTGGTCCACAATCGGGGTATGATGTGTTGCGTGAATGTACGTCAGTTTTTATTCCGTATTTTATATATTATCAACTTGACCATCGTGCGCCCTATCTCTTTCTCCCTTGGCTACTAGCCATCAGAATTTCGCGGGAACTCACGTTCTTACATGTTCTTCCACGTTCCTCCAACGAGATAAGATACGTTATACCCCAAATTCAAGAGGGTGTGATCGTCTTCTTGCCATACATCGTAACTTGGCTGTATCAAGTGCCTCGCTTCTAGCGTTCATCTAATGAACGCCGTGCGTATATGTATGGTAAAAAAGGGCTCATACGATTAAAATAGGAGCCAAGGTGATGCAGCACGTTCTAAATCGCGTTCTTTTAAACTCGAGCGTAAAGCTATTTCCACATAAAGCAAAATCTGCATTCTGGCCGGATCGTCAATTCAGTTGACTGAAGTTTCCAGCACGTATTACGTCTTGCCATCGAGAACTTCCGAGTATACCAACCTGGTGGTCAATTCAGTTGACTGAAGTTTTTAGCACGTATTACGTCTTGACATCGAGAACTTTCGAATACACCAACCTGGTGGATTTAGTCAACCGTGCCCGACGGACGTGGAGAAAAAACGTTCCAAGACCCTTCTCCAGCAGCGTCATAATATTATGCAGAGGAAAAGTACTCCTCAGTAGGTATGTGTTTTCGTTTACTGTTGAATTGCAACTATAAGATTCGTATTCCAGTCTATTTTTTAATAAGTCTCACTTCTTCTTAGACATTAGTATCAACAGTGTCACCTCCTTCACTCGTGCTTGGTACTCCTATCGAAAACTCCATCTTAGGTCACCAGGGTCTATGCGCTCTCGTTGTTATCTAGTCAATGTTCCCATCCCGTCATTATCAAGTTAACTTCTCAGCGCTCGTGGGCACGTTCCATGAGAATCTTTTCGTATCATATCAACCTCGCATATCCTAAAGGGATCGTTATGGGCCACAGGATCAGAAGCAAGAAATACAGGCCGTATCATCTGAGCCAGCCCTTGACCCAATTGAGCTTTAATCTGTGCCGCAGGGTACCATAAATACAGCACGCCCTCAAGGCAAAATGACAAGCAACTGCTCCGGATACACTCCAACTATGTCGTTCTCAAACAACTCACAGATTTTTCTTATCGCTGGAGGCAATGGGTTTATTGTATGTGCACTGTATGACATCTGACCTATATCGTACCAACTTTTGTCTGCCTAGGGATCCCATGTCGCCAGAGCTCTTTTTCTACGCGGATACCATGTGCGCATCGCAGATATTAATCCTACCTCTTGCTTTGAGGAGAAAATTTGCAACGAAATGATAGTTGGCAATATATGTGACCCGTCATTTTGCGAGCGGATTACCAGAGGTGTCCATACCATACTCCATTTCGCGGCCACAATGGGCGGTATGGGTACTATTCACGAACAAAACGATTTCATCATTTATGCTGAGAACTCGACAATGACAATCAACCTCTTGACTGCTGCCGTTCATGCAGGAGCTAAACGCTTCTTCTACGCATCCTCAGCCTGCGTATATCCAGCCTCTCTACAAGGTCACGGGAAAGCGGATGTGTCCCTCCGAGAATCCGACATCTGGACAAATCCGCCCCCTCAGCCCCAGGGGTTATACGGGTTGGAAAAGCTCGTTTCTGAATTTCTATTGCAGAACGACGCGTCCAAGATGAAAACTCATATCGCGCGCTTTCATAATATATTTGGTCCTCGTGGTGCATGGTGTAATGGCAGAGAGAAAGTACCCGCTGCATTGATTCGAAAAGCAATAGCCGCTAGCCTCGATACAAATCGCGTTCCGACTTTGGAAGTTTGGGGAGATGGACAGCAGCGGCGTAGCTTCCTCTTTATAGACGACTGCGTTGACGCGATCCTTCTCTTTCTCAATTCAGATTGCACCGACCCCCTTAACATCGGGTCAGATCATTCGGTCACCATCAAGCAGCTGGCGAAACTTGCAGTTACATGCGCTGGAATAAGCCCAGAAGCCGTTGAACTGCAATTTCTCGCAGAGTCAAGACCAGTGGGTGTTGGTTCGCGTAACTCTAACAACGAACTCGTGAAGGCAAAGTTGGGATGGACTCCCAAGGTATCTCTCAAGGAGGGGATGGAGTTGACTGCATTATGGATGAGAGCTCAGATGGAGAAGGCGGTGAGAGAAATCAGTAATATTGAACGCAGCGCTCTTCTCGAGAAATTCCACCAAAGCCAAGTGATCGATTTGGCAAAAAGCGCTACAACTTTCGCCATTCTCCTTCCTATCACATCTCGTGGGTTAGATTCGCCCAAAGACTGTTTACGCTATCTCCAATCTTTCGCTCGTTCCTTGGCACGGACCACCTGGCGGGACACTCAAGGACTAGGAGGATCGCAGTATCGCGCAAAAATATATCTTGCCATTGACCACGATGACTACTTCCTTCTACGGGTAAACGGGAATGGAGACAATGCTGCTCAGGCGACCCTGTATGCAGAAGGAGTCGGAGATATTACCACCATCATTTGTGATGTCCCTAAAGGTCATGTCTGCACTATTTGGAAACAGTGTGCAAGGCGTGCATGGGAGGATGGGTGTGATTATTTTGTACTTATGGGGGACGACGTAGAGTTAGGTGACGAAGGTTGGATGAGGGATGCACATGCCGCGTTTGCTACAATGGCGAAGGTCGAAGGTGTCCCACACGGTTTCGGGTGTGTCGCCTTCACCGACACCACTTTCCCTGGTATGCCAACTTTTCCGATCATTCATCGGACGCATATGGATATTTTTGGTGGTGAAGTTATACCCGACATTTTTATCAACCAAGACGGTGATCCATTCTTGTTCCAACTCTACAGGCGATGGGGATGTTCTCGCATGTTTCCCTGTAGGATTTCCAATCTGGTGGGGGGCAGCGTCAATGCGCGCTATCGGCAGCAATATGCCTCTGACTGGACTTTCGAGCCTCTCAACAAGGCGACCGATGCAGTCGAAGCATGGCTTGCAGGAGTATATCCAAGCGTCGAACGGAAGCTAACGATTGATGTCGTCATTCCTTGCTATCGCGTTCAGCTACCATTCTTAGAAACCATCTTGGCTCTTCAACCATCCCCTACTTGTACGGTGATGTTCATCGTCATCGTCGACAATCCCCAGTCGCCAAATATATTTGAATTAGAGTCCAAGTATGCACATCGGCCTGATGTTCGCATTCGCGTAAACTCGGAAAATCTGGGTGCTTCAGCATCTCGAAACAGAGGCATGAAAGAGTCGTCAGCTGAATGGATTCACTTCTTAGATGACGACGTGACCCCGCAGGAAGATCTTCTTATCGAAGCAGAGAAAATCATCCGAGCACACCCCAAAGCTGCTGGCTTCGTCGGAAACGCCCAGTTCCCTCCTGCGACCACTATTTTCACCAACGCTGTGCACCTGGCCGGTGTAACGTACTTCTGGGATATAGCAACAAAGATGAAAGAGGATATGCCTTGGGGCGTTACTGCGAATATTATCTCTCGTCGAGTTCAAGATGGTATCGAGTACGACATGAAGTTCCCGAAGACGGGTGGTGGCGAAGACATTGATTTTTGTCGCAAGAAACGGGACTTTATTGTGGCTCAAGGAGGCGAAGGATTCCGGGCCGCTCCTGATGTCATTGTCACTCATCCTTGGTGGAACGCTGGGAAGAGATCTTACTGGCGATACTATATGTGGTCAATAGGTGACGGTAGACTGGTCAAACTCTATCCGGAGCATACGTACTTCGATCATGCCCCAAATAGTTCCGAAATACTGCTGATCAGTGCGATGCTGGCTAGCATTGGGGCGGCTGAGTACTTGGGTGGTAAAAGCCACACTCTGCTGCTGTTTGCAATCAAACTCGTAATTGCCACCATCATTGCGAACACAACGCACGACTTGTATAGGCATCTGTGGAGAGATGCAGAGAGAAACAAGGCCATCAAGTCGACCGCCTCAAGATTTCAGTGGTTTATGGCAGCGTTCGAAAGTTCATTTATTAGAATGGCAAGTGAAGCTGGGAGGTCATTCGGGATGGTTGAGCGAGGGGAGTTGTTACTACTTGGAAAGAGATTCGACTGGTTCACTGGTCGAGCTGGGGGTGGTCCTCGACGTGAGGAAAGGATGAATTCGCGTCAGCGTTTGACGCTGATTGTTATAGTCGTATTTACACTCTGCTATGTGTCCTTCTAATTGAATCACGTCCACACCGTATAATCGGAATTCTTTTTGTAATTCCACTGTGTCATCTATTCAGGTCATTTCTGACAGCGAACACGGGAAACCGGTGAAACAAGAGCAATGAGGAGATGAAACATAGGTAAGGACGACAGGCCATGATATTTGGGAGTTGAGCTATGTCCGAGTGCTGTGAACTTGAACTGGTAGCCGCTGAGTCGCAGTTCAAAATATGACCGTGCCACGGCGCTGATGGTTCCAAGTACAACCATCACGCATCTTACGGAACCGCGAGGTTCCTAGCTCTCAGGCTGAAATACTTACATTTCCACTCAGTATGCGATGCTCCCCACTTTAACAGACTCCCTATGGAGATTCTGTCTCAGTTCCATTGCCTGGCCAATGCAAAAGCTGGCCGACCACGAGGGTATCGAGTTTTATGGCTTTCCGACTCGGAGTCCACATCATCTCGTTTGAGAAAGATCCTTTACTGGTGATCCACGTCGAATTCTCAACCTCACCATCCTGGCGCGAAAATACAATACAGAACACAACCCCAAAGGTAAGAATGGAATTCGTCCGTGATACGTTTGATCAGAAGCTGGCACTGGACATCGGTATATGACTCACATCAGAAATGTCGATTTTGTCAGTGCAATGCCCTGTTGACTCGAAGGACAGCACTTGTTTGCAGACTGGCTGCGGTATCGATGCCGCGCGTTAGATCGGCACGCGATACTAGTAATTAGAACCTATATAAAAGCTACCCTGTTGTCCGAAGGATAGCAATGTCCAGTCCAAAAGAAGATTAATCAAGCTACAATCTCATTATAATTTCTGTTTTTCTATTCGCCTCCTTACCGCGATTTACACCACCACGTCGCCAATGGATCTCGTGACGACCTTTATCGACCTATTCTTGGACCCTAGAGCGAGGGAGGGCCAAGTTCGAAGGCGAAATTGCTGGCATAGATTACTTTTGCGCCTACGTTGCTGCAGGAGATCAGCTTACGTGCAACGCGTTCATATTTGAGGTGAGCTCATGCCAATCTATGGCTCGATAGGCCACACTAATCTTCGTGCAACAGGATATACCACAGTTTTGCAAGGACAACTGCTTGGAGATCTAAGAAGATTCTTTATCTTATTGAACACTAATTATCTTATTAACCGTTGGGTGATATATTATATCAATGCAGTCATCTGCTAAGTTCATCTTGCTACATATCTTCCATGTATAATTGTTTCAGAGGTCGTGTATAGAGAAGCTAGGCCTTCTTATTTTGCATAGTATTTTATATATTACTAGTTGTTGTATTTCTTGGTCATCCCTTAACATATTATTCAGTTCAATTGCCCTGTATGGCCGAAGTGAAGAAATTATGAAAGATAGAAACCTGGATAGTAGTATGAGATACCGCTATATATCTAGGAGGACTGAGTAAGCTCCAGAAAATGGGTTCATGGAGCTTGCAACACAACTTGACTTTATTGTGAAATATACGGAGCTTGGGCCTGTTGATCACAGACATAAGTACTAAGACATCAAGTGCTGTGTTCAGTGAGACGGTAATTGCAGAAACACCGAGAACTAAACTACGGAAGAAGGCGCCGCCCGTGGAGGGGGATTTATTTTGTTCTCGAGCTCTAGCATATCGCAAAAAGCAGTCGTCTGCGGGTTTGTATACCATGGAGCTAAATATTCATCAACAGAAACACATGGTCGTGATTCAAGCATCTACTTACGTTGCTGGTTTTTTGCCGGGCCCTCACTTCCTGGACCAGGCGCAGTCTGGACAAAGACTTGACATGACTCGACTTCTCGCAGATCGCTGGTTTCGCCTTCTTCTGTGCTCGATATGTGTGCTTTAACCCATGACAGTTCTTCGGCAACTTGTGCTCGTGCAGCTGCCTCTTCTGGGTAGACAGCTTGTCGACGGGACATGGAGAAGTACGGATGGAATGCACGTATGATGGCAAGCCACTCAGGATCAAAAGTGAGAGTGGGGCGACGGCGCTGTCCGTCGGTGGCAGGTGGTAATGAATCAGAAGAAGCGGGAAAGTCCATCACCTACATAACAAATCTGCGTAAGCAAGTGACGCGGAAGAAAAAGGTATGCAGCGTACTTCGAGAAACTCCCTACGAGGAAGGCACTTGTCGAGTGCTAAGAATCTCGTTTCAGACGGTTGGGGGACAGGTGGCGGAGGGGCAACGACTCCTTCTTCTTCGTCTTCCAGCGTGATTTCATCAGGGTTAAGAGGACCAGTCGTGGATATCGACGATTCTGCCATTGTTGACGACTCAACGCCATCGGGCTTCTTCGTATCAAGACCATCTTCCTCAAATTCATCTATCACTATTTCATCAGGATTCTCGCCTTGAGCGGGTGAAGGGGATATACTTCCATTTGCGGCGGACGTTGCCTGGTGATGGGTGACTACAGCCTCAAATCTGACATGCAAATGCGCAGCAAACCACCACGACGGTCTCAAGGTATGCAACAATCCCATTAACGGAGGTGAGCCCAAACTGCCTGTACTGATGTCCTGTCTGAAAAAGGGTTTGCGGCGTAGGAGGAGGGGTAAGTCGCCATGCTGTTCGATAGACTGTGGCCAGTCGTGAGATAGGAATATATCTGGCGATGAAAGCTGTTTTTTTAAAACGTGTCAGTCAATTTAAAATTTGCCAAACCATGGGAATTACGCACGAGGGAAAGTCGACGAATGTTGTATTCGCGGATGTGGTAGATGCTTCGCATTGAGCTGTGGTCGTAAGGCATTTGCTCATAATGCCCTGAATGTCAATTGATGAGGCTGAGATCTATAGGAGAACAATATGATTGTACCTTGATGAAAATCATTTCCCTTAAAAATACCCGATGCTCCTGCTATGCGAACGCCATCTACCTGAACGCAGCCTGCATGGCCAAGGAAATAGATGTTTGGAGCAAGCCATCCTCCATGGTACCTACCATATAGATTCAGCTTGACGAGAGACGAGATTAATTATGCTAATATACAGTTCCCAGAGATAATTTGAAGCCTCGTGGTTTCCACCGATGACAATAGTAAGGACGGGCGCTTTTTTCTCGCCAGTATAGTATCTGGAAGCATACGAGTCATAGAACGAACTCGATATAGCTAGATGAGAAGCATAACTACCTATAAAACTCTCCCAGTTGCCTGTATTTTGGAGGCACTGCCATGCACTGAAGATCGGAGTGATTCCGGATGGCCTGGAAGTCGCCGCAAATGAGCAGAAGGTCAACGACATAGTTGTTTTTCTTTTCAAGAAACTCTATATGCTTGTAGATGGCATCGAGCGCCCCATGGCAGCATCCTTCGATTGCAATCTATATGTTTCACAGCCTCAACGTTTTGAAAACATGGCCGCAAGACAAAGATTCACTCACCTTCATTCTGGATACTTTTTGGGAATAAGTTGTCAGCTACATCAACAAAGAGCATTTCTCCAGCGATCTATGTGATTCATCCTTTTGAACGTAAGACTCACTATTAGTACAAACTCTATGTAGATGTAATAGAGATGAGATTCAGATGGAAGCAGCTTGAATACATTTCAGAATGCATTCAGCATGGTTCGAACGCTAGCTCACAAGTCATCGCGGAGATAGAATTCTTGCACTACCTCTTTGCTTGAACCGTTCAACAGAAGTAGTCTTCAAGTCCATCCCATACCTGATATTAGCTGCTCTTGACCTACGCTGCACAATGCTACCTCAGTTCCATTGATTCAAATTCTCCAAGGTTCAAACAGCAAATCTAAGGCGAAAGTTCATGCTATTCAGTGGTGGATGGTCAATTTGAATTCAATTGAAAGATGCAGTAGGACCTCACGCCAGCGCTGCTATTATCAGGAAACTCGAGGGCCGCCAAATCAACGCGTTGGAGGAACAAATGTCGATCTATGGAACAACTGATGTTGTCGACAATGACTCGAACCCATTCGAAAAAGCTTCTGTACATCAAGCTCGGGGCAGTAGTCGCATATGGGTTGAAAACATCAAACACTGTCTACACAAAATATCGCAGCTCTTGTAATCAATGGGTGTCGCCTAATGTCCTGTTTCTAGGACATATCAAGGGGCAATGGTTAAATTTGTGATCTACCTCACACCGAAGGCTTGGCGTCACTGCGATAGGATTTCGGAGCATCTCAAGCGATTTACACAACTCTCCTCATCCCAGATCCCCCTGTGTTTATATTTCTCTTTCAGGCTCGCATAGACTCCCTCAGCACATTGCCAAAGTATGACTAGATTCATTGCTGTATCCTTCCCGTACTAATGTATTCTATGTATTCGGACTACAGATTTCTCGTCACAGTAAACACTATTTCTGAAGATATAGTCAGTTATAGCACGTTTGCTTTTGCTTTTGCCTTTCTAATCATCGTTCGACACTTTCTTTCTTTTGTCTAACCTTTTTCTTGATCTAAACAACTTTAAAACAGATAGCACTGTCATCTAAAACAAGTCTACGTTTGGGACGGCTGCTACACATGACCGTGGTACACTAGTCTCTCGTCTATGCTGCATCGTATATATCTCGAGGAACGTATACTAATAATCGTCAAGCACTGGTACTAGATCGCTCCTTTTTAACACCAACACCAAATGTATCTTTCAGCAACCCTCGACCGATATCTGACATGGCATTTCGACTTTCCCAAAGAGGCAAAACAGACGTGATGAATGCTGCAACAAACAGCCATATCACACATATGATCACCCAAGCTTTGAAGAACGTCAACGAAAAAATATAGTGAGAAAGGAACATTGGAATTGGGATGAGCTGCGTATGACGTTAGCCATTTTTGGTATCTCAGAAAAGAATGAATGCGCCTCACGAAGATGACGATAAAGGTCATAATGGACGTAGCCCACGTTGCGACTCTTAAGGATTTCTTCAGCATCTCGTAGTCCTCGGGATACTCGCTGATAGAGGTATCTTCCTTGATGGAGGATACACGAGTTGTCGATTGCGATTTCTCCTTCTTTTCGTCAATTGGTGTGGGAGGTTCTTCTCCATTTGCTCCATTTGCTATCAGAGCGGCAGGTCCACCAGGTACGATACGTTTCTTATCCAGGTCCCGGCCCCGCGGATTTATCTTCTTCGTCTCCGACCAGTCAAATTCATTATCAGGATTGATCAAGGTGATGATAATGGATATCAGAGCGCCTGAACAGCATGCTCCCATATTACCCGCCAAATTGGGGTACATATTACCTACCGAGGAGTGGCCCAAAAAGTCAGCAACAGGATTATACAGCAGCTCTCGATGGAAAACTGACCAGTCGTTTCGATCGTCACCTCTCCATAGTACGTCTTGGCGACGACAAGCCAACAGGTTATGCCGACAACAAGACCACCCAATGCTCCACCGATGGCAGCAGCCCGAGTCTGTTTACGCCAGACTACACTGAATATGATAGGACCTACAGCACCTGTGAACAAAGTTCCAGAGAAGAGGAAGAGCCAGTTCAAAGAGATCCCGATCCCATTCCACAACGACGCGACGCAGGACATGATAATGGCCCAAATACCAACCATAACATGTGACACACGTATAAGTGCCTCTGGAGATGCCTAATAATATGGCTCAGGAATCTAGATCAGGAGAGACATGAATGCAACATACGTCTGGCTTAAAGTGAATTTGGTAAAGGTCAAACGTTAAGATGGATGAGGTAGCTATCATTTCAGAAGATGCCGCCGAAGTGACAGCCATGAATAAGAGAATCAGCTAAACAACCAGATGCAATTAACAGATGAGAGTAAGCGGCTTTACGTGGTACTGACCATTGCAGCGGCACCTCCGCTGCCTAAAAGTGCAACTACTCCAGCTGGTGCTGCAAGACCGGCATCAGTTTGAGCCAAGGAGAGACCGCCAGGATATGGGAAACTTGGGTCTATAAATGAGAACTTGAACTTTTAAAGCTTGCTCGATAGTACAATAGTAAAGACTTCAGCTTACGGTTGGCCAAGGCAACGGCTGAAAGACCCATAATAGTCGAAAACGTTAAAGGCACAGCAAACCAAGCCACCCCGCCCAAGAGGTAAGCGCGAACCGCTGTCTTTGCCTCCGAAGCAATAGCCCTCTGCCAATATCCCTGAATTCATCTGTTGAGCCGAGGGCAATATTGCTAATATCGATATGATACGTACCTGATCCAGCATCACCGTACCAAACCCGCCAGTTATCTGAATTATCATAAACATAAGCCCGTCTGGAGAGCAATTTCAATGAATACGTCTCATAACACTTTTCAAGCGATAGCTCACAGTTAGATTTCAGCGTCAAGTACGAGCCATCTTGATTTCCAGATACAGGACGCTCCGCACTTGCTTGCTGAAGGAGACGGTACATCCCATCGAAGCCACCGATGAGGTCAGCCTCAGCGTAGGTATAGAAGAAGAAGTAGAGTATGATGATCATGAGTATGAGTGTATGTGAGTAGTCACCTGTGGAGCACATTAAAGAATATTTCAAGCCAAGACATAATATGAAACTTACATAGAAATGTTGCACGCAGACCCCCGAGGATCACATAAATAACAACACCCAATGGGATGAGGAAATTTGCTGCATAGATGTTCATGCCAGTAAATGCATTCACAACTGCACTACCGCCCAACAAAAGCATACTCGACACTATCAGATTTGTCACGAGCCCGAAAGTGGCGAATATGAAGTGTGCTGTGTTTCCATAACGAGCGTGGACGATCTCGAGGTATGTATGACAGTAGGGCGCAATCATCTTCACGCGGACCGAGAGGATCGACATGACGAAAATCTGGATGGTTGCGCCTGCAGCGTAGTAGTAGCCTCCACAAAGTCCATATTCATACGTTACAGTCGAGCTCTGAAGGAGAGTAGCAGCCCAAGTCCAAGCTGATACGATACCCGAAGCTATCAGTCCAGGTTTGACTGAACGGGAAGCGGTATTGAATTCCTCCGAAGTGGCTATCTTATAGCTTGTGTATCTGTTTTGCAAGGTAGAGAGACCCATCATGATAAGAGCGAAAACAAAACCGATTCCGAGGACGACGCCATAGCCTATTCCTTGGGTCAATACTTGGGAGCCTTCCGTAGACATTATAGAAACGAAAGATAGCTGAGGGGGTTTGAAGGCATTGAGATATAATCGAGGGGAAGGCTTATGACCAGGTTCTGACGTGCCTATCGACTGAATACACAGGAGAGATAAGCGGAGGACAGTCGTGGACACTTTGTGATCGCATCATCCTCTCCGCTGGAGAAGATATCTTTGGAACCGAATAAAATCTTCAACCGGAGCGCTCATGGAGTCTGATGCCAACAGAATAGAAGATGAGTATACTATTCCAGCGTATTAGAAGTTGGTCGTGACTAACCATGTGCATTTACAGCAATGGCTTGACTAGTACTGACTTAGTGACTAGTATACGTCGTTGGTTGATTCGCACTCTTCGATACTGATTCTCCGAGTCATCTCTGACGACCAAAAGCCCTCTGACATATCTTTGGCAATAAGCCAGCCCCTGGATCTGACATATCCCAAGCGGTGGCCGCTGTCGTGTGACGATGTTAACGTTAGCATGATATGAGCAGGACGCACAGTTGCAGAGATAAGCCTCGACGACATGAGAGAGTTTGCAGATAAGCGTGTACAAGAACGACGAAAAGAAGCAGCAAAAATACCACAAGATAACCGTTCCTCGAACCATGATCACCAGACCAGCTTTTATTTGCAAGAACATAAGCTGGGTACCATGCACAGCATACGGTAATAAAAGAACGAGCTGAACATTTTTGCCGAGTCAATACATGCTCATATTCGACAAGTAAAATGTCTCAACTAACGGTATAGTCACTTGAAAACTTTTCCTCGTCGGTGCTTTGGCCTGCTAGAAAGGCCAAATGTCTGGCAATTGTATTCATTCGATGCAGCGATTAACTCGGACACGCCTGTGAGCCTGTAATGACTTGTGCCAATGTTATCCGAGTCGATGTCAATGCCAAGCGTTGTATTGTGATAAAAGTAGCGTGGCGCACATCCGAATCGACGATAGAGTCCGCAGCTTACAGTCAAGGGGCCTTTCAGTTCTTTTCATCCTTGGGATCTCGCCAATTTTGTGGCCTGAATACCGCTGACCGGACTGTGAACACAATATCTACTGTCAGTTGCATCCGAGTCAGCGTCGAGGTCGACCCAGCGTATTTGGTTGCATAAACCCGTGTGAAAAATAAGTCATTATGCCTATCAAGTTCGGACTCGGATTTCCCAAGCTTTCACTAAATTTCACTCCCTATAAACCATCAGCGCCCAGCAACTGTATCGAGGACTTCGTACAATAATCAAAACTAGCAGATAAATGCAAATGCGCGTAAAGCAGTATACACCAGTCTATAGTTATCTAGTACGTCCTGCAAAGGTGCTAATACTGATAGATACTGTTGATTATGATCCCAAGTCCAATGGGTATACGAGAGTGCCAGAAAGAAATGGAGCACACAGACCTCTACATAATAATGCATTTATCTTTTTTATTTTTCTTGCCTGGTTTGTCGCCTTCGGGGCGCTTTGTCCGTTGTTGTTGTTGTTGTTGTTGTTGTTGTTGCTCTTTCTCCATCCGTTCTACCCGTTTCCTTTCGCGTTGTAAATATAACTGATGTGCCTTTTCGTCCTCTTCGGCCTGTAGCTGTCGAGCCAGTGCCCGACTATAGTTCCTAGATTAGTATTACTCACGAACACAAGGTAAACCAGATATACATACTCTGCAGGGTCAACGACGGAGAATTGGCCACTTTCCAACTCAAAGGCTTGCAGCGCGCTTTCTGCTGTGTGCCCAGCAAAATCTCCTCCAGCCGGACTGGATTTCACAAAGTCAGAGTCAACAAACGTCGACCAGCCTCCATCAACATCTTCTATACGTTCCCATACCACTGAGGGCTCGTTGAGAAAGACATAATCGGTGACGAGCGAGTATAGAGAAGCTTCTTCGCCCTCTGGCTTATACAAAACTGACAGATGAGAATTTCGGAAGAGTGCAACGAGAGTGCCAGGCTCTAGTTTTGATGCCAAATGGAAGAGACCATAATAGGTCAATTGCGACTGCGTATTATCGAGGAAAGTACGAATAACGATAGCTTAAACGCCAGTAATCAGAATTAGCGTGTTATAAATATATATAAGAAGCTCACCCTGTTCGATTTTCCGTCGATCACTATCAGAGTAGCGATCGGTCGAGATGCTAGGCCCTGCTTGACTGGGTCCTGCTTGGCTCGATCCCGCTTGGCTCGACCCTGCTGAACTGGGATCCTCGAAGGTGTCTGCGGTGAGCAAGCGTCCGTTGGTCGTGTGATCGGCACCCGCGATGAGATTGACTGCACTGTCATAGTCCTGGACGACAGCGAGTACCTCGGCCTCTGCGCTACTGGGATCTACAAGCCAACCGTGAACCAGTTTGATCCCTGCCTGCTCGAACATTTTGAGTTCACCACCAGCTCCTGCAGGTCTGAACGAGGTAGCCCCAGTGAACAACGGGTTGAGGTCTAGGCCCTCTGTAATCGTGGAAATGTACACGCGTTAGCGTGTATTGCGTAGATGAAAAGCGCGACGTACTGGTAGTTGTCGGCATGATCGATAGTACGGAAGAGATATCAATCCCGGGGCAAGTCATGAGGAGATGCTCTCCGACCAACTGGGATAAGAACTCGTAGGAGACGATTGTACGGTCATTAGGTTGGATTTCTATGTTACCACGGAGTAAAAGAATGTTGCCTGAGGGAAATTAGTGATATTCTGTACATATATCAGACAAGACATACAGATTGCAATGAAAGAGCACGGCCTTATGAAGTCCTGAGCATCAGCTTGAGAATAAACATGATTAGAGTGGACGAACCCATTGAAATTTTGAGTAACGATCTTGACATTCCGTCTTGAGGACCCTACTCCAAACATAATCTCCTTCAGATACCAGACATCTGCTTGGGAAGACTGGATGCTCTGAGCTTCTTCGTGCTCGGACATGGTATGAGTATTTACAGGTCAAGTCCAGACGCAGGGTATAATATGGCGGCGCAGCCTAAGGTTCACGTAGTTGCTGCGATCGCGGATGCGGTACCGCTGTCGTGGCTGTGCAACCCACTGTATTTCCCCGCGAAGAAATTAATCCGGGGATTGCCACTGCGAATTGCATTTTCTTTGTTCGATATACTGCCAGAGTACTTGTACTTTCATTTCTGCAGCAACATAATATTTCTTGGCCTGAATCACTTGTTCTTCCGCGCAATGTATCCGTCACAATCTCTCAGGCTACTCTAACAGAACCAGTATTTCTCGCACCAGGACCCCCCCAGGCAAATCTTGAGAAGACGCGATAATCGCGGACGTCAAAGCTGCATTGGCTGCAAAGTATCCCAAGGTAAGTAATGATCAGCCTCTGCCTAGTACTACTCTCACTGGTTCACACAGTTTTGCCTAACACGTCAAAAAATCGCGTTAAAAGATGACACAAAGCTCCTTCCAGACAGAACTACATCGAAAGGTATCAGTCTGGTTGGCGGTGAGGAACTCACTGAAGGTCCAGCGCCTCAAATTAGCTGGAGGACCGTTTTCTTGGTCGAATGCGTTCGCCACCACTCATATCTCCACCTCTGCTTTCAACTCAACGTATGGAGTAGATAACAGGCTGGATCGCCAAACAGTATAGCCACCCACTCATATAGCATTTCTCCGACCTCTTCTACGGTAGTCAGATACGACACAGTACATTGCAAAAGTAAGGCATCCTCAACCTTAAATATCGCGTTTATTCCGTTTATTCTTGAGTTGTTGATTTTGATACCTTACATTTCATCAAGCATGAGTTAGAAACCTTTTCGTAAATATCACCTCCCTTTGGTCCAGCAAAATTCTGACTGAGTGTCGACATAGTGTACATAGGTTTTCGCATGGAACTATGCCCTTCACGAGCATCTTCAAAAACTAATCAAGTAATCTGATAAAGACCTTTCCTTAGGACATCACTCACGTCCCTCAACAACTCTGCCCATTATCATCTTCTTACCGTATAGTCGCATCAATGCTCTCTTCAAACGTCTTCAACGAGCCAGGTGTGTTCTTGGCATATGCGATCTACAGCCCAACCTACGCATCCCTATCCCTATCCCTATCCCCCCACGTTCGTAGCTCTTATCGTGGAAATCCGATATTCCGCCAGATATGTGCGACCCTGCGCTCTGGCTGGCACGCCCCTTTCTGACATTTCTCCCCCTTGTCGAGAAACGAAACCCCTGACCTTTTTCACAGCTCGCAGAACACTCCAACCGCCCACACCACCCCGAAACCTCCCCCCGGCTGGGACACGCCAACGTCCCATTCCACACGATCATGGATTCTTCCCTCGACTCATGCCTCTACTTCTTTTTTTTCGAGCGGATTTTTCGACCCGCCCTCCCACCATTCCTCCCCAGAACTCGACCAACTCGACCAAAAGCTCGTGTGAGTACGATATGCCTATGCAGCATCGTGGATGTTCCTGGCAGTTCACATAGACCAGATGTACGTTATTCCCAACGTCCCCACATCTTAAGCTGCATGTATGTATGGTGCCCCAAATCCTGCGAAGAGCACCGAGCCCCTCTCATCTGGCTTACCACCCACACGTCCAAAGTCATCCTCATCGTCGTCATCACCCTCCCCGCATCTCAACCCCAACCCAATCCCACCCCTCACTCCACGGAAAATCGGGATCAAATGAGGGGAACAACTGATTTTTTTTTATTCTTTTCTTTTATGCTGATAACACACGTTAACTCGAGTGATTTTCACTACATTCAACTAGGTTCATCATTCACAAATGCAAAAGAAACGGCTCCCTGCCCACACTCTGGACACGGCATTCGTCGAATGAATACAACGCATATAGCATATAGTAGCAACAAACCATACAATTGCAAAATTGTGTATGCAATTCAAATTTCTTACTCTTTCGTACCAAACAAAAAGAAGAAGACGCCTGGATAATCATGATATACACTGTCAACACAGCTAGCGTAATAGATTGGCAAGTCAGAAACAATGAAATAAAGTGTTCAAGAGCAATGAGCATGTACGACGTCGCCATGGACAAACTGAAAGAAACAGATCTAGACGTACGCGACTTCATAACATCTTTGAGCTGAACATCGTCACTGCACCCATCGATGTAACGTAATATATTAACAGAGCGTTCACCAACAAGATCAAGCACATTTTTTTTTACGAATCAACGACAAACGAAGAACACATGACTGCAAGAAACAATATTGGTATTGTACCCAAGCGGCACATTCTGGATATTACTTGTAGCAAGACGTGTAGTACTTATCAGATATCGGATATCGAGTATCAAAAGAAAAAATTAATATGACAAGCGACGAAACAAACACACAGGGACAAAACCGTTCAAACCGAGCAAGCAAAAGCGATGATATCATGATGGCGGATATAGCACTACGAAAATAAAATAAAACAGAAAGAGAAAATGAAAGAAGAAAGGAAATGAAAGAAACAGAAATACAAGGCAACCACACAGCTCTCCGCTGGCAAGTCCTTTCTACGAAACCCCCCAATCGAGTCCAGACCATAGTATAGGCCATTATACACATTTTGAATCGTCGTCTTCGTCATTCCGATCCCCTGCCCTAGATCACACACACACGATGCCGTCCAACCACCGCTCTTCATACCTTCGCATTCGCCTCACTCGCTCTCCGATGTCGTTCAGGAAGCCCCACCATCGGACGCGTACCCACAGGTCCAATCTCGCCCCCCATCCCCACTCCATTTATATTCCCATTCGTGGTAGGCACACCCAACGTATCACCATGCTTCATTCCCTCCATCCCCATTCCATCTCCACCCTCGACTCCCCTCGCCAACAATGCCCGCTTCGAATTTGCAGGTCCCAACGTCTGGGATGGTAGTCGCTTGAATGACGGTCGCATCATATCTCCGTCAGACGACGCTGCGCCCTCCTCCGACACCACCGACGATTCTCGCGAACCGTCCATGTGTGTGTGCAGGACGGCAGGCGGGGGTAGAGAAGACGAAGCGTGCATAGGCGGCGCACTCACTTGTGCACCCATCTGGGGACCTGCATGCGGGTGATGTGGATGTGGATGCCGCATAGCAGACGAACCAAACGCATTCGCAAGCGAAGAAGTCGTAGACGACGAACTTGACGGTCGACTCATATTGTTAAAATCGAATCCGGGCACAACGTTCGCATTCATTCCAGGCCCATTTATATATGAACCGGCACTCGATGGCGGTACCGGGGGACTAGCGCTCATACTCGGTCGTGTCCCTCTTCGTTTAGGCACAAGATTAAGCTTCATCGCCGAATTGCGAGCGTTGACAGCAGCTTCGTAGCTTCTCAGATCCTCCGCATTTCCATGCAGCGTCGTCCGCAGCCCACTCGTGCCCTCCCCGGGTCCGCCAGCATGGCCATTGCCCATTCTTGCATGTGTATGCTCGACGGTGGGGGTCTTCACAGAAGGCAGAGACGATACACGTGCGCGCCTGCGTTGTCCAGCTGGAGATGCAGGTCCTCCTGGGGCCAACAACGCACCAGCGGCATCGAGCCCCGAAGTTCCAGAACTGCTAAGTGGGGTGCGCATATATGCTCTCCAGAAATCCCGCAGCTCCCTCATTTCTGCGTCCCGTGATGCCGGTGTAGGCAGCGCAGTCGATAGAGGTCGGTCCCGAGTGTGGGGTCCCGAATGTTGAACGGGTTTTGAAGGCATTGGTGTAGCATTGGGTGAATGCGGCTGCATACCGGACATGTGCGAGAAAAATGGGACACCGTCGTTTGAGAGACCAGCGAGCACATTAGGATCGTCAATAGACATCAAACCAAAGGCAGATGAAAAGCCACCTTCGCCATACTGGGGACGTTGTGAATTGGGAGGTTGAGACTGCTGCTGCTGATGTTGTTGCTGCTGCTGTTGAAATTGATCTCGATTTCGTTGATCCTGACCGAGGAGCATCCGTTGTTGTTGGTAATTATTAGATCCGCCGTGAAACATCTCGTTGCCTCCAATAGGCAGGTGGACATTGGATGACGCAGCACTTGATGGAACAGAGTGCGATGTCGCACTACCGCCATCGCTAAAATCCAATGAACCCTTTCTCGGGCGGTAGGCTGAAGCACTAGTCATGTTTCCAGAAAACATATCGTTCTGAAACTGATGTTGCGAACCCGCTGATCCCGGTGCGAATTGGGGTGCATCGCGATCGGAAGGAAAGTTCCGATTATAGTTTGAATGGATATCCTTGTCGTCAATGGGCATATAACGATGATTGAGAGGGACATCAGGGATGACGTTAGAGTGAGAAGGACTGGATGCGGATGGACCCTCGTTCCATCCGAACCAGTTTGCAGAAGGAGGTTGTGATGGATTTGTATACAACCCTGGAATGACTGCGGAGGTTGATTGTGGGTTCGATAGCATTGAGTTACCGGCACGGCGGAGGAGTTCAGCCTGAGCACGGTATTTTGCGACCATATCAGAGTCTGTTGCCATGGAGAGGGAGAGATGGGGGGCATCAGTTGTGGAAGGTGGGTAGGCAGAATTGAAAGCAAAGGTAGAGGCGAAAAGGGGGTCAGTTGATGTTGAGGTAGACATGCTGGGTACGCTTAATGGAGGAGGGCCTAGGATGAAGTCGTCTACATGGGAATGGGCGGACATGCGAGAGGATGAGGAGAGGGATGAAGAAGAGGAGGCAGGACGGGGATTATGGTGGCCGGGACCGCTTGGTGCGGTCTGGCGATGGAATTTGACAAAAGTGCAACGACATTTTCGCTGTACGCATTTTGCTAGAAAGGGAATGAGTGAGGGAGAAAGAGAGAAGAAAGGAAAGAGAGAACTGACAGCAAGGATTGCAACCATCACAGGGAAGGCTTGATTGGACGCACTGATCGCAGGCTTGTTTTGATGTGGTGGCACGAGAGGCGGATGCTGAGCCCTTTCTCCTGTTATTTGTTTGAGCCTGGGCAGGTTTCTCTGTTGCATGACACTTGTTTACATGTCTAGATAGTAAATCGCTGGAGGAAAGAGTGAGAAGAAGGGAGTGGGGAGAGGGAGAGCGACGGACCTCCTGGCGAACTGGTCGCCGCAGTGTTGACATTTGTATGGACGATCACCGGTATCTGAGGGGGGATGTCAGAGAGAGGATGGGGGGGAGGGGGAGGGGGACGTACGGGAACGCATGTGGCGTGCTACATGTTGTGGACGGGTAAAGGTAGCTTGGCAGACGGGACATTTGTGATCGCCACCCATGTTGATTGAGATGGTGGAGAGAGAGGGGAGTGGACTGGAATTGTGTGTTTGGTATATATTTACAGAGTACTTCATTGTAACACCCCAAAATCTAGATCACGGGTGTGTCCGCATGATGTCATCGAAGCGTTATCAGACTGTTCTCCTCGACATCCCGCTTGTCTCCATCCTCCCTGCCAACCACGCGTGCGGTGTGAATCATTCTCGTCTCATTGGCTCTCTATCGACGCTATCAACGCTCTCGCCCTCCCCGCCCTCCTCTCCTCGCCCTCCTCTCTGTCGCCAGGACGATGACGCACTTCTTTGGCCCTATTGACGCGAGATCGTGGCGGAGATCAAGCCACTAGCCAAGCCAGTCAGCCAACACGCCCCATGACGTCACTCGCTGCTCACCTCGGGGCAGCCACCGGTGCGAAGACGTCTGCGTTCGCTCTAAACAAAAGTCAGCAACATCGCTCGGCATCAGATCCTCGCCCATCCCACGCCCTTTCTCTGCGCAGCACCTCGGTAAATTGAAATTGCCCACATCCGGCATCTCTTCTCTCCGCAGCACTCCCCTCCCATGACGTCGCTCCACACAGCCACATTCCCTTATCTGGCCATCTCATTTCCGCGCTGCCCTCCCTTTCAATCTCCGGTATCAGCATCTTCGATACCGGGGTCGCATCCGACAACCCATCCGTGCGCGTATTCAATTAATACACATCTCCGCAGCACCCACCCGCGCGTCTCCTGCTGCGCACATCATCACCTTCCACAACACGCGTCCCAGTGCACCCGCCACCGAAACACCATCACACACAACCGACCATCATGGCCTTCAGCCCACCATCTCAGAAATATCAGTCGTTTCCACCACACAAAGAAATAGGGTGGAAATGTGAAACATTCATAGACAAATAGAATAGATACTCAACGGTGTCGTGTTGTCAACCCCAATGTACTTCATCTCAACCGGTATATAGTGCTTGTTGGGCAGCGCGTACGTGACTGCCTCCACCCCCGCGTTCTCCGCTATCACACGCTGTCCCATCTTGAACATCGTCGCCTAGTGTGCAACGTCACGTCCTCAGTCTCTCACACGCAACGCAAATCACCCACCTGCACACTCGCACTCTCGTCAGTCGCGAAGATGTCCAGCGTCGCAGTCCTCGCACGCTCAGCCACCCCCTCCCCGTCGTAAACACTGCCCGCCTCCATCTCCTCAGGCACATTGAACTCGAGCTTCTTACCATCACTCGGCGCTGCGATAGTCAACGGCCCAAACGTATATGTTAAATCGACAGACGTAGAAAATATACGATCGTCAACCTCAACCAGCGTCGTATACTCGTCGCGAATGAACCCAGAAAAAGCAGACCCCGTAGATTTCAGAACTGACCATCGAAAAAAAAAAAAAAAAAAAATCATGAGCGACGACAACGATAAGACCGATATCATCATACTCACCAAGCAAGTCACTAATCCCAGAAGACACCTTGCCCACAATCTTATCCTTCCCTGCAGATGCATCGATCTACACCATCATCATGTGATGGGGGAAAAAAGGGCGTTCGATCAGCCAAAGCAGTCGCAGTCATGCTATATATGCCACGCCCCCCGCAGCGTAAAGGAGAAAGCAAGGGAAGAATAAGGAAGGCGCCAAAGTGGCGACGTGGGGCGCGCGGGGATTAAGAGTCAGGGAGGCCTAGGAAATATTCATAAAATAATGGCAAGGTGCCAGTGGGGTCCAGGCCTCCAGGCTCCACTCCACTATCAAGCTCCACTGCACCCACACCTGTCCACTTATCCAATTATGAATATGAAAACAAGCCCGGAAGGGATCAGATCAACGCATAATAGCATGCACCACAGCAGAGGAAGCATTTAAGCTCGTCCCCACAAGGCAGATGCAGATCCGTAGTCCCGTAGTCCATAGTCCGTAGTCAAATCCTAATTCTAAAAATTCTACCGTACGAAATCGCGGTAAATATGCGAAATTTGATATTGTGCGTCAAGTCAAGGGTAAGAAGTGAAGAGCGAAGAAAAGGGAGGGAAGTATGGTCGGGGCAAGGGACATACACGTACCTCTGCGTTAACGATCCTTTTATCGTCGCCATCGCGCACGAACGCATGCGGGTGCGGCTGTTCTTGGCCTGGGGCGCCAACCGCAATACGGGACCATCGAAGCTTCTCAACAGTGATATACGCACGGTCGATGTGCGCATACTTCGACACGAGGTGGGTCCCGAGGTGGAGGGCGAAGCGTTCGGGGGAGAGAATGTGCGGAGAGACCTTGGCGAGGTCTGTCCCGGCGTTTAACCAGGGACGGATGTTTTCATGATCACGAATCACGGTGAGAAGATAACACGGCGAGGATGACGCCAATAAAAGGCCGCGAGTTGAAATGAGCAAAGGGAAAAGCAAAAAGGTTTTTGAGTTTAGACTAGCCAAGCACGGTCGGGAGCAGGGGGTAACGTACAGTATGTTATATTCTTGACTGCAGGGGAGCGGCGAGTGATCGCCGGGCGCGTTCGGCAAAGCGATAACAAAGCAAGTTAACATCGCTTCATCGCAGGGGACGATCAACGTATCACGTACTTGCATCGGTGGTCACCACGACTGAGTTATCGGCTTCGGTGTAGCTGGAAGAGAGAGCTTGTCAGCGGGGGTGTACGGCATGATCAACGACGCGCAAGCTGGTGCATCGTCACGGTTTGGATTGGAGTATGAAAGAATGAACTGCGGTGATCATCAGGACTACAGGGTCTACCGCGTCGAATCGCATGCCCGTGGACAGGGATCCTCTCCACAGCGCGATCTCCGTTGATGCGAGTCGCAGTTGGAACGAGGAAGCAGAGGAAAGAAATGATGCGGCAACCGTGACGTGAGGTCAGAGAGAGCGCACACACGTACCTCGTTTCTATTTTCCCCTCGAGCAACGCACAGACGTTATACTCGACGACATGGTGCCACTTCCCCTCTCTTACGACGCGGAACACGCGCACCTTGTCTTTACCGTATCGCGCAGCTGTGAGTGTAGACATTTTTTCGATTTTTGATTTTTAGAGTGATCGGGTTTGAGGTCAAGTTCTTTCGATGTTCCTGTGACTAAAAGAATTAAGAGCATTTAGGGATGGGTTATCAGAAATCGTCTCGGGATGAGTGTACGTTGTACGACATGCAAAGATGCAAAAACTTACAGTTAGACAATGATGATGGTGGTGGTTCTAGTTGAAGACCCGTTTAATTTAAAGCATCGAGTCATGCCAATGCTTAGAGCCATATAAGTCGAATGCGTAGTTCCGTAGTTCCGTAGTAGACTATTGATAACGCCAGCCACGTGCATTTATTGCCATCGGCATGCGGAACAACTGTCACTGATGAAAAAGCTGATAAGATAAGACTCGCGGTACTGGAATATTTTCTCACAATGTCACGGTATGGGTTGACATACAGAGACAGGCTTTAACGCGTTCCACTGGGAGAACATGACCCATGATGTGATCGCCATGCAATGCTTGTTCCGTTCGATGATTAACCCTGAGCCATAGCAGATGGAGGGATTTAGTAAGTTCAGCTTTCTTTTTCGCTTCCATATGGCCACAACACGACCTTTCACCTTTCCTCTCACCCTTCGTTTCGTACGGGCTCCCGCTTTTGGCCGCTTTTCGTTCCAACTCCACTGACCGACGTGCAAGATACTGCCCATACCAATAAGCGATTATCTTCTCTCTTCCTCTGACACACTAATGAAAGGATGATACAAAACCGCTGGAAAACACAGTACACGTGACGCGCAAACACGGGTATAAAGTCCGATACTCAGAAAACTCGAAACAACAGGCCAGTGAAAAGTTGCATGTGTAAAAATCCGAACCTGCGAACCTGCGTATGTCCTTGTCACAATCCAAATGGCATGAGATTAGCTTCGTAACTCTACAGTGCTCTGATACATACAGAAGTATACTGCAGTTGAGCAATGAAATAAAGAAATGTCAAAAATATAATCTCATCATTACACTTAATCTATTGGTCCGTTTGCAAGTGGGGGCACACTGACAAGAGCCCGCCTGCTCATGCCTCATCTGGGTATAACATGAGTTCCGGTCTCACTTTTTCGTCGAACTCCTCTGGGGTCAAGAATCCCAAGGCAACAGTTGCTTCCTTCAGCGTAGTACCCTCCTTGTGAGCCTTCTTTGCGCATTTAGCCACGTCTGTGAGACGAATAAAATCAGTAAGCATTCGATTGGCTGCATGAGAGTACGCACTGTCGTATCCCATGTGGCTGTTGAGAATCGTTGCCAACATTAATGATTCATTAAGGAGGTGATTTATCCGTTTTTCATTTGCCTGAATGCCGACAACACAGTTCCGAGTGAATGACCTTGAGGCTAATGACCAGTTAGATACAATAACTTAGACTTGTCGGTAAACGACTAACCATCAGAAAGTATTCTGATACTTTGCAAAACATTTTTTATGATGACGGGCTTGAATACATTGAGCTGTGGGAGATGTGAACAAAAATGCATCATCCTTGAGACAATCCTATCCCTACCTCGAATTGTCCACTGGCCCCCGCAATGCTAACAGTCGTCTGATTGCCCATGACTTGCGCGGCTACCATAGTAACTGCCTCACATTGAGTTGGGTTCACCTTGCCTGGCATGATACTGCTTCCAGGTTCGTTCTCGGGCAAGCTGAGCTCACCAAAGCCACAGCGAGGACCGGAACCGAGGAAGCGGATGTCATTGGCAATCTTCATCAAAGAACAAGCAATCACATTCAGAGCACCGTGTGCCTCGACCAAAGCATCGTGACTGGCAAGAGCTTCGAACTACGGGAAAATGTAAGACCAAAAGTGAGGTGATCAGAAGCTTCGAATACTTTGTTGGGGGCAGTCTTGAAGTCCAGACCAGTAATTTTAGATATTTCCGCGGCTACCTTCACATCGAAACCTTTCTTCGTGTTCAGACCCTACGGTATAACGATTAAGACCTGCTACCACATATGATGGTTCGAATGCTTACGGTACCAACGGCGGTACCACCTTGAGCAAGGAGGCTTAACCGAGGGAGCACACTCTTCACACGCTCAATTCCATTGTCAATTTGCTGAACATAGCCACTAAATTCCTGGCCTAAAGTCAAAGGAGTGGCGTCCTGCACGAGTTTGACGGTGGTGAGATTAATTGTTATGAGCAGAGTTTGAACTCTGACCTGTAAATGAGTCCTTCCGATTTTGATTATATGGCTAAAGGCTTCAGCTTTTTCATGAAGGGCATCGCGAAGCTCGATTAAAGCCGGTAACAACGATTGATTAATCTCCGTTACAGCTGCAACATGCATGGCAGTTGGGAAGCTAAGATATAAAATTAACATCGTCCTGAACTGAGTTAAATTAGGTTCAAAGTATACACATACGTGTCGTTACTGCTTTGGCTCATGTTGACGTGGTCATTTGGGTGGACAGGCTTCTTGGAACCTAGTTCACCGCCGAGGATCTCGATGGCACGATTTGAGATGACCTGGAATATCATGTTGGCAAAAATGTTATGCCGAGCAAAGTGACAGTTCGCTTACCTCATTAACATTCATATTGCTCTGAGTTCCACTACCAGTCTGGAAAACGACTAAGGGGAAATGATCCATGAGTTTGCCAGAAATCACCTGGAATTGCATATTGAGTAGATGCTCGACACTGGATGTAGAGATATTTACTGACATCGTCAGCGGCCGTTTGAATGGCCTGTCCAACCTTCGGATCCATTCCATATCCCATATTAACGACAGAAGCTGCCTTCTTCAGGACACCGAAAGCCTTGATGAGGGGTGGGGGCAGCCGTTCGGCCGGGCCGCCAATATCAAAGTTCTGTAATGATCTATAGGAAGCGATTCGAACAGATGATGCCCACCGAGAAACGCTCGTGCTTACCGTTGTGTTTGGGCACCCCAATACCTATCAGTAGGGACTTGAAGATCGCCAAAAGTATCACGTTCGATACGGTAAGAATTATTGGACTATAAGCCCGGGTCATTATCAGAACGACGGTGAGCTAAATTCTGGGTATGCTTACCATGATGCGTTCGGAGCTAGAGAACTGTCTGGATATGCTTACCACGATGTGTATGGAGCTAGGGAACTGTCTGGATATGCTTACCATGACGCGTACGGAGCATCAGCGAATACGTCTGACCGTGGGACGTCCTTATATAGTCCTGGACCCGTAGGATCCATTTAATGGTCAGTGTTTTCAAAGGACCTTTTAGTCGTACCTTTTAATGTATTTCGATGTCCGCTCCGGTTTCTTCCGTGTCTGACCAAGAGTCGTGGGAAATCAAGAGTTGTTGAATCAGCTCTGACAGTCCTGCACCTGCAAAGAGATCTAATGTAGCATCGCCCTCCGGGCACCTTGGCACCGACAATGTTGGTGCACATGAGCTCAACTCATAGTGATACATTAATAAATTCAGTCATGATCTATAACAAAGGGGACAGTGGTCCCAAATGCCACATTGTGTCGGTTATTTTGCTTAGGTTTGCTCATGTGGTTTTTGTGGCAACACAGGAGCAGCAGTACAGTAGTAGTAGTGAACACAGCAAAAATTGTAGCCACACTGAAGAATTCTCATTACTCAAAAGATAATGTGGAGCAGCTCAGTCAAGAGCAGCGGAATGCTTTTGATACCATCATACAGTCAATTTATCATGATTGGGGAACAACTTGCTTTATTCACAGTGCTGAAGGTAAGGAACATATCTCTGCAATACAATTGCCGCTGCCGCTCAAGCAAGAGATAATCATAATGTTGCTCTATGTGTAGCATCCTCTGAGACTGAATCCCTGCTCTTGGAGGGTGGTCGCACAGCTCATTTAAGCTTTAGAATGTTGGATATTTGGACCCTCCAGCACGGGAACAAGCATGGGAGAAGGATTGGGCAAATGAATGCCGTAACAACGTAAATACAAAGCTTCTTATATACAAATATACGTAAATATCATGTGAAAAAACAATGGTAGCCACAAAAGGCCAGTTATTATCACAGAGTAAATCTTTGGCCAAAGCTCCAAAGTTCACTTATGTAATATAATTTCTACATGGAATCCCTATTCCTGTACATGAAACATCCACATGCAGGATTCCAAAAAACTCTGACCTCCATGAGGTATTGAGATATACTGGAGTTGTTGTCTGGGATGAAGCACCAATGTAACACTGTCATGGAATTGAAGCACCTTGCCTGTTACAGTATCACCCGTCCTTGTTTGTTCAACACAAACACCTACCCTAAAGTAGACACTATATATATAGGCCTGTATTGTAGTTACTATCTCCAATACAATTGTACACTTCAACAGTGTAACTTGGTATTCATCAGTCAAAACCCTCATCATCAGAATACGTCTCAAACTCGTTCACAACAAGCTTATCAGAAACCACTTGTATATCCAAAACCCAGCGTTACCAGGCTTGCACATTCCAAATGTAACACTGCTAAACAACATTTGTTGTTCCAAGAGGGTCAAGGCAGCATACTATTTCTGCCTCTCTTAAAAGGCCACGACTGTGGACAAATATTCATGTTTGCTATCTCACACAGAACATGCACCTGGACCATACTCCAGAAAGTGAAGCCTTTGCTAGCTGGCTTCTGGATGTTGGTGGTGATCGTGGAATTGCAGGAGATGGAACAATTGAGCTTCCTGCCAACATGCTTATTCCAGAAAACACCATAGACTCATTAGTTGACACTACCAATCCTGGAATTGCACATGGAGACAAAAATGACCATTATCTCCTCCACTGCACCATACTCTTTGCAAAAAATGATGCCGTTAGTGACCTTAATTCAGCAATCCTCACAAAATTCCCTGGAGAAGAGTTAGTAGCTCTGTCACTAGATAAAGTAGTTAGAGAGGGGCATGAATATTATCCTGTGGAATTCTTGAACTTCTTGCAAGTATCTGGCCTTCCTGAAGCGCACCTCAAACTTAAAGCTGGATGTCTGCTTATGCTCCTCCACAATATTGATACCCTAAATGAACTCTGTAATAAAATATGCATAATTTTGATAGAGATAAAAATAAGAGTATTGAAGTGCAGTCACAGGCCTTGGGAGGAAAACATGCAGGAAAGATAGCTTTTATTCCACACCTCACATTGGAACCTTCATTGGAAGAATTGCCCATCAAGCTATCACATCATCAATTCCCTGTCCATGTTGCCTTTGCCATGACTATCAACAAATCTCAAGGGCAATCAGTGACACAGGCCTCACCATTTTTACTAAAGTGTTTTATTCTCAGATCATATTACCATCCTTTACCATTTTTGGAGTCTCTTTTTTTATTTCTCGTCAATTTATTAATATAATACCACAGACTTTTTATGTTACAATATATGTTGATGTTTGTAAAGATTCAATAAACCATCTGCTTGAATCCAGTATACTATGCACAGGTTCATACATTACAGATAGCATAAGTTCACTGACTTAACATTTTGATCACTTGTTAGTATTATTATTATTTATCATACATCACACTAGTGGCAGAGCCACGGGCTAGACCTTGTTTTATTAAAGGCTATGCAGTAGTGACAGCCAATCCCAATCCTTAGTTATGTTGGATCAAACATTTCCACCCCAAGAATACCACTATATGATGTGGGTGAGTTTATTACTTGTAAAGGTGCTTTCCCTCAACCACCTGCCCCCAGCTGGTCTATTTTTCAACATGAAGATGGGGCCCTTCCACCCATTTTGGTGTCTCTCATGTGCAAAGATTGAATTGGCAACAACAGTGGGGGGAGTGGGGAGTGATCAAATCCACTCCATACAGTTTGAAATAACTGTCATCAATTCTGACAACATTGCGTCCAAAAATTTGAGCAAGGTGTTCTATTGGCCCCTGCCCTACAATTTCTGGTAAGTACATCACCAACACAGGCTTGTCAATGCCACATGGGTTGTTACAGGGGTGATGGAATTGAGCACTTTATTGTGTGTTAAGTTTTCAGGAGATAGGTCAAGGGGAAATATTTTAAAGCAAGGTGAGTGAGTATCTTGTTGGTCCCACAATGAGCAGGAACACTGTGGTAGGGCATCAGTTTTTCTCATCAATTTCCTTGCAATAACTTACACAATAACGGATTGTCCACTCAGGCTGCCAGTCTTTGAGCAGAAGGTGGATACATCAAATACTGATTGTATTATGCAGGAGAGTAATGGCCAGCCAGTTGATTACTTAGATACTGGCTGTTATGGGCCTCATGGGGCTATGTCCACAGCATGATTTCATTGGAGATTCACCAATGCAATGGGACTCAAAACCTGTTGAGGTGGCTCCATATTGTCATGCACCAAAATTGATTGGTTGTTACAATAACACAATTTCCGGACATTTCCCTTTTTTCATTCTCCGCTTTAACTTTATACTTTAGCTTTTACACATAGTGCTACGCGGCATTTCCCCTTTCCCGCACCGCGCTGCCTTTCTCTTATTTTAGATTCAACTCTCTCACGCAGTGGAGCTGGCCATACGGGCTAGGCCCTATGACATCATCAGCCACTGCCTTCAATCTACTGTATAGTACACATGTACAAACAAACATGTAGTAGTATATATACCCCAATAGATCCAGGAGACTCCTCAGCGAGTCCTCCTGTTGTATACCAACTAACTCACTGCAGCCTAAGGGGTAACCACTCCCCAACTTCATCTTCTTATAGTGTGTTCTGTGTGCACCGGAGTAATTCACTCTTGGTTGTTACATTGGTAGCATAAACAGGTGTCAATAATGAAGCAGATATTCAAAAGACTCACCTTTGCACCACCCCACAGGCACAGTGCCACATGGAATAGTAATTAATATTGCTTTTTTTGAACTTGTGGCTGATCAGCACCACCTCTATTAGGCAATCAAATCATGCTCACCTTTGCTTTCCATTCGGTACTTTCCGCATTTTGGCATTTTGGCAAATTTTTGTGTTGCCACTGGCTACACATTGCGCCCTTGCTTTTGGCTCCCTATTTTAGTCTACTTCTCCGTCACCTCCACCCTCCTCCTACTTGTTTTCCTTGCTCCCCCACCATACCTGATGTCACCACTTTCCATCTGCTTCCGTTGCCAATCCGTTGACTACCACGTGCCACTGCTGGTATCAGCAAAGCCCTGGTGGCTGGTTAAAATTGGGCAACAGGTCCATCTTTATGACATTGATCTTCCATCATATACTATCAAATCATTGGTCGTTCATCTCGCCTGGTTGGAGCATGGGTGGGTAGTTTTTGAGCTGGAGAAGGTTCATCCCCTCACGTTGCCTATGTATATCACTGTCCTATTCACTTGGGTACATTTATCCTTTGTCCATTGTCTTTGCCAGAGCTACACTTACCACACACTGCCTGGGATTCACTTGTTCCAAATTGGAACTACTCCTCTCCCTTCCTTGTTTCACCAGGTGGTCCACTATAACCAGGCCATTGGTAAAGCCATGGAACTGTCAAATTTGGACTAGGTGGTGGACTGGTGGCTCCAGTTTCTTTTTTTTTCAGCAGAATATTCATTTGCAGTGCAATTATATTTGATTTTTGAATCATTTTTATGGACACATATTTTTTTAGAATGCCTGACTGACAAGAAAGGCACTGTGTTGATACTGATATTTTTTTGCCTTGCCCTTTTTTTACTGCATCTTCTCATGACATCATGATTTTATTACTCTCTTTCTGCTATTGGACTATATTGACGATCTTATCCTGTACCACCTGCACAAAATTTGTCAGTGTACATTCCTTCCTTCATGTTCTTTCTCATTCTTTTTGCATAGTTATACTGTGCATAGCCTACCTCTTTTTTACTATATAAACCCCTGTATTAAGCCTATACACAAGTTCCATAGAATCTGGGAGGATTGTATTGTTAGTTTGTTTTTGTGTGTGGTTTTCAAACAGCAGTTCTCATCTTCAACAGTGATTGTTGCTTGGTACCCACTAAGCCCCAGGCTACTAGTACTTGGACATAGGGGACATTAACCGGTTGGGTCTGACTAGTCCTCACCTTTGAGTTTGAATCATTTGGGTTTGACTGGTGGTATGGAGGACTTTGACAATATTCTAGTAGCTGCAGACTTCAGCCAGGTGTGCATTTGTGGTTTTTTTTTCTTCTCATATAGGA